ATATGAAGAATGTAATACCATAGATATTTTTATAACAATTTAATATTACTGCAACATTGAAAATGACTCGAGCGGAGTCGAAACGTTTGTTTTGTCGATTTGTAATTTATGATTGAATTTTAATTAAAGTTTGTTACTATATTACTGGCTCTTTGCATATATTGTTTTGCATATATTGTTTTAGTGAAAAACATTAGTTAAAAGAATCTTTCATAACGTAATTGAAGATAATGTCCGACTGGATCCGAGTCCACTCAATCTACGAATATTGATCAGGATTAACCAATGCAATGCTGTTTTATTTCGCACATCTCGGAAAATCTCACTCACCAGTCTCCCAAATATTCCAGGTAATCGTCCCTCACGTTTTTCTCTCATCAATGAGTCTAAGACGTGGTTTCGTGACCTGCTGGCCTGCATGGCAGAACGCTGTTCCTCAAAAGTGATTCGCATCTTCTGCAGCTGAGCGGTTTTCTCGCTTTCGAGTGCCTTTGCTTCATTTAGTTCGCTCTGTGCTTGCTTTAAACTGCGCTCGGTTGCCGGGATTTTCGTCTCGAATAATGCCAGCTGCTTTTGTCGCTCTTTAAGAGTATTCGCAGTTCTTTCCAAAGACTCTCGGAGATTTCCCAATTTCTCTTTCTCGACTTTCTCTACCGATGTATAAAGTTCCAACTCTGACTGCGCGATATCGTATGCTGCTTTTGCTTGATCCACGTCTTTCCTAAGAGATATCAGCTCTTTCTCCAACTTGGACCGCTCATTCAGTAACGGCTCTGTCTTTTCCCGTAGATTCGACATCAAAGTTGCTAACGTAGCCTCTTCCTTTTCTTTCTTGGCTGCTTGCGTCTCGATCAGACGCTCGCATTCATTAATGTCCTTGGCGTTTTTTTCTGGTACCTTCAGTAGTTCCTCCAGCTTACTTTTCTCCTGTGATCGTTACATAAATTGCCAAATATATAATTGGATACAAACAAAAAAAATATATATAACAAAATATAACATTTATATTGAATTTACATGTAAATTTAATGTTTTTTGTTAAGATAATAAAGAGAAGAATTACCGTTTTGCTAGACACTATATTAGCTTTCCGCCGCTTATTTGTCTCTATTAGTTCGGCGTGCAGCGACTCGTCCTGTTTATGTATTTCGTCGAATCTCGCCGTGGCTTCGTCCTTCTGCCGTTGCAAAGCGTTCCACTTCTTGCTCTTCTCCTTAATAATCTCGATTTTTTTCTCCTTCTCTTTGCTAACGTTGATCATTTCGTCTGTTAATGTAGTATATTCCTTAGTAATACTATCTTTCGTCGCTTCGCACTCAACAAGCTTCTTCATTGCCTCGGATCTGATAGAAATATTTCATAATTTTCAATAGTTAGCTAAGCTGATATAATGCTTCAAATATCTTCAGATTTAAATCAAATAATAAAACTATTTTCATGGACAACTCACCTTTTGCAATGATAAATTTGATGCTGCAGACTGATTATTAAATTCTCCGTTTTTAAGTACTGTACTGCTTCTTGCATAGGCTCCTCCAAGGCCTCTTTCTCTTTTTGCACGACTCTAAGACGATGAAGCTTTTCTATTTTACGTTCTGTTAATTCTTCGACCTTATTCAATAATTTCTCCAAAGGTTCTTTGTAACGAACTGTACCAATAATATCTTCCAGAAATTCTAACATTCCAGTATCGTTTTCATTTTGAGCCTTTGGTTTCATTAGTGCAATTTGTTCTACTTCACCCTAAAGAAAGCAATTCTCATGAAACTTTTTACCGATATAGAATTTAATGTAATTAATACATATTGATTCTGATTTGAATGTATTTAATATATATTGTATTTTATATATAATAAATTGATTTTAAATGTATAATTTAACATGTATTAATTTTTAAAATAAACTAAGTTTTTGTAAATATTTTGGTATTCTTTCAAGAAAAGAATATTAACACTAGAAAAATTCAAAATATTAAAATATTTAAGAAATAATCAATAAATGTGTATAAAAAGTTATATTAGCTCAGAGGAAAATTAACTATATAAAGTTCGGTTTTTCACAAGAATTATTTTAAAAATGATATGAAAATAAGATCAAATAGATTACATGTGTTCACATGATTAAAAAAAATCTTTGAAAGTTAAATCTATTCTAGATTCTACTATATATACTCTAATAAAACATTACATGATTCTACCTGTAATATCAAAAAACGATTGTGGTCCAAATCGACTCCGTGATACCTCAAGAGTTTAGCAATCTCTTTAAATTGTACTTTCTTCTTATTAAGCTCATAATATGATGAACTATCCTTGAATGCTGTTCTAGATATGACAAACTCGCTGCCCGGAACAACATCATAATCTTCACCAGACTTAAAATTAATTTGATTAAAAATTAATTAGCTTAGTATTCTATTAATTACTATTATTAATTACTATTATTACATTCTTATTAATTATTATTAATTACTAGCAGAAATCAAATTGTCACACTTGTATTTTTATACCTTAAACTCTAAATCATTAATATCAGTACCTTATCGATAATTCTTTGAAAATGTATAGAAACGGTGCAACTGTTCACATTCGGATGCTCACTGGAATTATGTATCAGGACAGAGATCTTCTTTGACCTAATTTTGCTAGCACGATAACCAAACACAAACAGCATAGAGTCTATCACATTGCTCTTGCCACTGCCATTGGGACCCACTATCGCTGAGAAACTCTGAAGGAAAGAAATGATAAAAGTCTATTTATTTTTGCACTAGAACTTCCTCACTTATCCCAAATATCTATTTAGCTCAAGTTTCAAAAGTGTACACTAGTTTAGCTTTGTTAAACAGCTCTGATAACACTTATAAACAAATTCAGTCTTGCATTATATTAAATTAGTACATATTAAAAGCTGCTATACATAAAATTGGCCAAGTTAAATGTAAGCTGTGTTCCAAAATTCACTGCCAGCACTGAAAATATATAGTTTACATTATGTATATTATACATTTTCACACACAGCAGTGGCAGTGAATTTTGGAACACAGCCGTAAAAGCATGACAAAGTAAACTGCAATGTTCACAAAACATTGGCATTCTAGTAATGGATCTGGACATGGAGATAACCTATAAGTTATCCTATAGGTCTAATTATAAGGCCTGATTGCATCAACGTTACTTTGACTTTAAGCAAGACTTAAAATTCTTTTTCTCTCTCTGTCTTGTTTTAAAGCAAAAGAAAAACAAAAACAGAGAGTTTTAAGCCTTGCTTAAAGTCAAAGTAACATTAGTGCAATCGAGCCTTAATCACATAATTATTGCATAACATAAATTTTTTATGATTAAATATTTATATTATGATATTGTCATATTATTTAACAGAATATATATATATATTTCATTGTCAGAGTTATTGTATCAGTGTATTTAGATAATTTACATAAAGTAGTTTTTAATGTGCATTAATCCAATGTAATATGAGTGATTGAAGTCTTCCAATTATTAAGACCTGGTTCTATAAATGAAAGATTAACATAATCTTGGTTTAACTTACTATTTACATTTTTCCAATTCCAAGAATTTAGCTTACTGCTTATCTTTCTCTAATTCTAGAATTCAAAAAAGATAAATAGTAAGTTAAAGATTAAAGTAACACTCTTACATTTATGAAGTCAGGCATAAGAATTGGATACACACATCAATGTGTTTACCTTTTGGAAAGGACCAATTATATGTGTGCCAGCGTAGCTCTTAAAGTTTTTATTAACAATCTTGGCGATCATGAGCCTGGATCCAGTTTCATCAATCTCATTAAAGTTTTTTAAAGGTGGTGGGATATATATCTCATCATCCACCCTCAGGCCACCTTCCTCATCCTTGTCAAATCCCGTGTCCTGCTCGTTCACTTCCATGTCGACCCCGCCGGGGGTGTGTCTCTTCGCTGGGGAGTCGTTGGCCATCCGGACGGTTTTTACAGCCTTTTATCTACAGCTTTTCAGCCTGCGTCGTAATCTCGTGCTGCGTTTCGAGGTTAGTCTGTCAACAACATCATCGATCAGCCCAGCCGATCTGTCGCTTGAATTGTCAATACAAGTTCGTTCGCCAGGCCACAATATCGAATAAATCACTCTCTCCTGTTGCGGCACTGTTGAAACCGAGCTCGCACTCGCAAACCGATCTTTCCCGCGCGATGCTAGCCGAAGGAATTGAACGGAATTACAGAATTCTGACGCGAAACCTCTAACCTCACCTTCTCCAGAATCACTCCGATTAGTTTCCCCACTGTACTCGACGTTCCCGCGACGCACGAATATTGCGATCGAGCCAGATAAACGACAGATCTGGGTCACTATCAGGTTCTCATGTTTTCAGCACCCGCCATCACATATAGCATCACGCCGAAGAGGCGTTCTGAATTCAAAATCCCGCTCGACCAACGGAATCGTCCGAATGATGAACTCGAACTGGCGCGATAATACTCGATCGTGCGCGAAACTCACTCCACTCATGAGATGCAGATGACTCCCCAGGTCGCCGCGAAATCGCGCGTCTTTGAATTCCTTCGCGAGTCGCGAAATCATCCGCGAAATCGTCTTCTAGTCCTCTGACGGCTCTGACACGAGCAAAATGGCGGCAAAATGGATTCGCTCGTTTGGCAAAGTCCAACGTGCGATTTTGGAATTAATAGCAACTTTTTCTTCCATTTCTTCACTTCGATCAAAGATAAGCATGCGTTTGATGTTTTGATGGCAAAACAAAGAAGGAGAAAAAAAATGAAAAATCCGTCCGATTAAAGAAAGAGAGGATCAAGGTGAGAATTAAGAAGAAAGCGCCTGCGCACGCGCAGCGAGCATCTTGTCTACGCTAGCGAGTTCAGTGGCCTGAAGTGAGCGCAATTCGAATGTCACTACCACATGACTCCGTGGCGCAACGGTAGCGCGTCTGACTCCAGATCAGAAGGTTGCGTGTTCAAATCACGTCGGGGTCAGGATTTTTTTTTTTTTTCCTTTCATTTTCGTGTACTTGTTATAAAAACATACGCGTGCAACATAATTTTTTTTTAAATATCAGGCACAGTTGTGTGCAAATATGAATTATCGAGGTATGTTCCTCGTAGGCATTCTTTTTACATTCTGATATGAAGTCTATTGTTGCTTGCACTTTTTAAATTCAGAATTTTCGTTTTCTCTTTCTCTAATGCCCGAATATATATTTATCTCGTTTTAAACAGATTTATGATCATGGATGTAGTACATACATTTATCGTTAGAGAGAAAGAGAGAAAAGATATGGAAGGATCAATTGTGCGAAGAACAAGTCACTGCACTGCAACAGAACAAGTGTAAACGAATGTAAACATACTGCAAAAACACATCAGGAATGTGAGAAACATTGCGAAAATCGCTCAGCCAAAAAAAGTCGCAATTTGAATCCGTACTAATAAAACAAAGCTGTTTGTAAGTAAACAAAGGATTATTGCACTTTGAGTATTTAACAAAACGATATTAATTATCGAATGTTTTAACCTCAAAGTTCAAATATCATTGCCTTCTCCTTCAATCGAAGAACATAAGAAAAAAATTGTGTAATCACTTGATCACATTATTATAAAATCTTCATTAATTTAAGAAGACACAACATGAAAGTGTAAGTCGTTAAATCCATTAAATTTTTCGCTTTTCGCAAGAATTGTTATACCTTACTATCATTGGTTTTACAGCATAAAAGGAAACTGGAACACTCTTCTGAGTAATTACGAGGTTTTGGATATTTTGCAAAATACGAAGTGTTCTTACAAGAAACAAAAGATGAATCAGCTTGCAACCATCACTTATCAGACAATCAAGTATCTAGAAGATACGCCATGTAAGAAGCAGAATCCAGAGAAAATTCGAGAGTTTCTGAGAGCCATGGAGCCTATCAAATTGTCCAAAGCTGAGAAGCTTACTCTTCTGAATCTTTGTCCTACTACACCTCTCGAGATTCAATTGGTATGGCTTCTTTCTTATAAATATCCTAATTCAATGCTGTCCAAGATTCGTAATTTTAGGATTATTATTAATGGAAATAGAAAAAAGAAAATAATAACATTCCAATATTGACACATATTAAGCCAATTCCCAGAATTACAAACCTTGGATAATACCGTTTTACTTGATTAAGAAGCAGAGATATTCAAATCTTTCGACGTTTCGGTGATAGATCTATTCTGAAATAATCACTATGTATAGATGGTGGAAGAGAGCGAGGAACGACTATCAGAGGAAGACGTGGACACTGTGCTTCAAATCATCGCGAATGTGCGAGGAGATGAGGAAGACACAGAACAAGAAACCTAATCTTAGACCTTAAAAAATAACTTATTTAAATATATTTTATGTATGTACATTTTATTTATATAATAAACATGACTGGAAATAGTGTATAATTAAATTATTGTGCGTGTATAATAGTGAATAGCCTTATTATCTCTTTTGATCCCCAAGATCGTCTATAGAGTCTTCATCAATCTGAAAAAAAAAGAATAGAATTTTTCACTTTGCGTTCAATATACTACTACTTTCTTCCTCTTTTTTTCATAACTTACTTGTGGCCATTTTTCAGGTATCACTTCAAACAGATCGTCCTTGACGTCTCCCTGTATAACAATTTCATCGTCTCCAGTCACGCTGGATCCACAAGCAAACTTACTACCGAAAAATTTTGCTGCTACCTTCAAGTCGATGTCTAAGAAATAAATTATTCAAAATTAGAACATTTATTTGTTTTACAATTCATTTAAAATCTAAATTTTAGATCGTTTTGATGTTGTATTACCAAAAGTGCTAAGACCAGTTACAACTGTGACGGATTTCTTCTTTCCTCTAGGTGCTCTGGAGATAGTTATCAATCGTGGTATATCCTCTTTCTTCTTGGTTTTCAGCATACCTTTACCACCTCGCTTCTGTCGCTTTTTCTCATCTTCTCCTGTGCTGACTTCGGTAGAGCCATCCTCTGTAGCTAATTAAAAAATAATCCTTATTATTAGAATATCTTGAACTGTTCGCTATGATGGTCAATTCTTACAATTACTAATAATTTACAATTACCTAATTTTATCTTTTCAAATTCAGTAGGCAGATTCCTTTCTAGCCATTGCTTGCATTTGTCATACTCTGGATAATATTCGCAGTACTGTAAATCAATGATCATCAGATTTTTACCAGATTCAAACTTCTAATAAGATATATAAGTATATTTTCCATAAACGGTATAAGTATATTAACACAAGAGTCATTCTGTTTTTTTCTCTTATTAAACATCAAATAGAAACAGAATGATTTCCATATCAATGCATCTCCTAAAAATCTCTTTGCTTATCAATCTTTTTTTTCTATGAGAGTCATATTGTCTCATTGAAAAGGATGAAGAAATTAACTTGAATTGAAACATTTATTATTTCTTTCTAATATAAAACATGTTGTAATTAATTTTTAATTATAAATTTCAATTGCCAATTATGATTTCTCCATTTTCGTAATCAAGCAGGCATTTTTCATATCAGTATTAAAAGTAACAATTTACCTCAATAGGTAGCGAACAGTTTCCGCAATATTGAACGCGGATGGGATAAGTGACATTAGGAACCGGTCCCAATTCCAGTCGAAACTCCGGCAGTTCTTCCGCTGACATCCTTGCGCCGTCTAACCTCACTCGCGGTCTTGTCGGGCAGCTCTTTCAGAACAATCGTTTTAAAAATTTTTCCTCGTGCTGCGTCAATCTTCCTGGAAACAGTCTCTATTTTTACATGAACAAATACTGCTAACTGCTGCTAACAAATATCTTGTACCGTATGCACCATTAGGTTAGAAACGCCAGGGATGTAGAAATTTAAAGATCAATTTCTATGACCAGTGAAGTGATTTTTGTTCCCCCAAAAAGTATTCACATCATTGTACAATTGGGTGCATTAGGTGCATCCAGAAGCACGATTGCTCACTGAGCGCTCAGTGAGCTCTTGCATTTGATTAGATCTAAAAATATTCCATTAGATCTAAAAATGTAGACCAAACAGGTAAAAGAGCTCTCAGTAAGCGATCGTGCTTTTGGATGCACCTAAAGCATCCATTAGGTGCATTCAGAAGCACGACTGTTTAGGCCACCATCCCATGAGAAATTTACAGCGGAACGGAACAGCGCGACTAATCACAATTTTGCAGTCATTACTCTACTTTCTTTTCTGCGATTGATTCTTGCTGTTCCGTTTCGCTGTAAATTTCCGCTCATAAAACGCCGATCTCATTAAGCGCTCAATGAGCTGTTACATTGAAAGATTAAAGTTTGACTAATCAGAACAAAAAGAGCCAAAACTTCTTTGTCCTCGTTGGTGAAATTTTAATCTTTAATCTTTAATCTCAATTTTCAATGTATAGTCTGATTTCGGCCTAATACGATAATTAGATTCTAATCTAACTAGGAATCCCGCAAAAAAATAAACATATGCTGCAGACTTAAAATTTCAATGTAGATTAACGTCAATTTCAATTTAACTTATTTCTATCTTTTTTTAAACAATAATAAAAAAATAATATAATAGGCTAATGAGAGTCAGCATCAATAAATGGCGCAATTATTTAGGATAAAATAAAGAAGATATCAATTTAATTTCTGATTATTGATCGTTCATTTAATAATTGCGCCGTTTATTGACGCTGACTTTCATTAGCCTATTAAGGTTATTTTTTTTTATTGTTAAAAATTTGAGAGTCCTAATATAATTATTGTTATTGTTTATCTTTTGTTAGTTCTAAGAATCAGAAAAAAATAAAAATAAAACTGAGATTAAAATTTAAATTACCTTAGAAATAGATATAAGATAAGTAATTCCGATTGAATTATGTCCGTTTTTTTAACCAAGTTAGATTAATTTTAATTTTGAATTAGTATAATTTCTTTTTTACCTTCTCCTAATTTTTATAACTAGAAAAAGATAAAAAGTAAATTAAACAAAATATGTATATTTAAATAT